CAGCGAGGTGGCCTGGTGGCTGTGGAGGTGAGGCGCTGTGCTAGCACTCAGCTATTGCTCCTGTGCCCCAGGGACACAGGAAGCAGTCTGTCGGCTGGAATGGCGGATTGGGAGAAGGCAGTTTGAGGAAAGAGGAGAAGGTAGAATATATAGTCATCTGGGAGAATCGGATTCAAGTTTTAGAAAAATGTAGGATTTCTTTGAGATGCTGAGTGTCCATTTAAGCTTTGTGATCAGAAGTCTAAGTTGAGACCAGTCAGTCTGGTTGTATGGTGATGCCACATGGAAATGCCACATGGAGAGGGTCTTTCCAGGTCTTTGTGAGCACAGGAGGAGCACACAAAGGCAAAGGAGTGGAGGATAGCTAGGGATTCATACCTGTCTGGGGGCCGGTGGTGTCTGAGCCGGACAGGAGGGGAGGGAGGCTGTGGAGGGGGTGACCGGCAGGTCAGTGGATGGGCAGGAGGACTGCTGGAGTGGGAAAGAGGCTGGGTGGGCTAGCCAGATGGGAGACGAGGCAGCTCCTGGTACAGACAAGGTCTAGGGTGTGAGCGCACACACGTGGGAGGGTGAGACGGGTGGAGTTGGAGTGAGGAAGTCTAATCTCTCTTGGAACTGAGAGGTCTTGCTGATGGACATGAGATCCCTAGGGATGATAACAATGTAGTCATGGAAAGGCAACAAGCCAGGGCTCTGATGGCCCAGAAATGGAAAGGAATAACCATGCTTCCCTTTGAATCTCAAACTCAATGTGTTTGAAGCTGAAATCATGGCGTCTCCCTCAAACCTGCTCCTCCTCTGGGGCTTCTGACTCCGGTCAATGGCACCACCACCCAGAGGCAGAAACCTGGATGACACTTTGATTCCTCCCTCGACTTGATCCCCACACCCAACGGAATCACCCAAGGAATCACCCAATCTTTGTGATTCTATCTCCGTAAACATTTCTTAAATCCAGCTACTTCTTTCCATCCCCATGGCACACGCCTTGCCTGGTTCAGGCCTTGTTTTTTCTCTCTCAGACAATTGCATCAGGTTCCAAACAGGTAGCCCTGCCTCTGTGCCTCCACGTTGTAACCAGAGACACTGCAAATTGGATCATGTCCTCTCCCTGCTAAATCTCTCTGGGGCCTGTCATTGTCTTTAGGTTAAAGTCCTAAAAATATCATGAACAGATATTTATAAACAAAACTTGCATGATCCTGCATGATCCCTGATTCCAGCCCCTCACCTGACTGATAGCCATCTGGGTTTCCTTCAATCTTTGTCATCAGATTTGCTCTCCTTTGCATACCCTGTCCCCTCGTCTGGAATCCCACCTCCTTCGCTGGGCGAAACCCTCCTGTTTCTCTCGCCATCAGTGTAAGAGGTCCCAGGGAGCCCTTTCCTGGATGCCTGGCTATTAGAGCCTCCTTTCTCTCTCCGCCAGTGCCCTGTGCTTCCGCCAGTGTGCCATGAGATTGGTAGCTGTCCTCTTCTCTAGAATGTAAGCTTCATGAGGCCAGGAGTCCTGTCGGATTCTTCCCAGCACTCAACACAGGTGAAAGTTAGCAATCAGGATTTGTTGACCCGAATCCAATGGAAGATGGTAGGGTGGAGTGGGTTGTGGTCCTGGGAGTGGGCAGCTGAATGTTCTGGAAGGAGAGGAGGCCACAGAATGAAAAGGACAGAGTAATGCACAGGAGGTTACCACAGTCCCAGATCACAGGAAGACACCAGAAGACCCTTGGCCATGGGTCAGGAGTAGACAGCAGCAAAGGGCACAGGAAAGGGGGTGGCGGAGGAAAATGGCAGTAGCAGGAACAAGTGGGGATTCTTCATGAAGATGAGGGCGGGTCAGGGTCTGAGGGGCAGAGAGCGCCGTGTGCAGGGCTTGAGATCCTGGGTGAGGTTGAGGATGAGACAGTCCGATGGCCCAAGTGTGGCCTACAAGTTGAGTTTCAGCTCCCTTTGGAAGCTTCTGGCCAGTCTCAGGTGGTGTTCTGCCTCCACCTGGCTTGTGGCTTAGGACTTGAGACCTCTGGGGAGTAGCATCCATGGAGAAGATGAGCTCATCATAGGCAGGACCCCCCAGCAGCCCCTGGAATGGACTCCTAAACTCTCATGCGAGTTGGTTGCGTCTGGGCCTCTGGCCTGGACTTGGGAGCTATTTTTGTCTGAGCAGTGTGTGACCAGCTGGTTTGGTCAAGAGTGCTGCCCTGCTCTCCTGGGTTGGATGGTCACAGCTCTGGTTTGAATTGGGGGTGAAAGCTGCCTTTGTCTCCTGGGCTCAGGAGTTAACAGGTGGTGCCCTTGCCACAGTGTCCACTTTACGCTTGGAATATAACCTTGCTGCTCTGCCACTGCAGCAGATTTTTAAAATGGATGAGTTTCTGTCTCTTCCTCTCTCTCTGCTCCTCCCTAATCTCTCTCCTCCCTAATCTCATCTCAGGGGAACCGAGATTACCTTTCTTCCCCATGTAAACAGCGTTATCTGTCCTGAGTACACACCCACCATAGGAATGAAGTAATCCAGACTTTGGGGATGGTACCAGTGATCTCAGAAATGACAGTCTCCCAAATTAACGAGTGAATTACAACTCCAGACAGAGAACATGCGGAATGTAGCCTTTAAGTCACTGTTTAAAAGCCCCCTGTTCCTGCTGATGGGCAGAATCACAGCCTTTGGGACAGGGGTCCCCTGTGTTTCTCCTTTGCTAGCAAAGCAACAAACTTTTCTTTATCCTTTTTCTCAACACTGTGTCCTCGGTATTGGATTGGCATCGGGACAGGAGCTTTCAGCAATAATAGATGGAAATGGTGCCCTGCCCATGTCCCCTTTACTGGAGGACACCCATTTCCCAGCTGCTGTGAATATTAACTGCTCGTGGGTTATAGCAGACCCTGGAGAATTAGCCTCAACTGCGCCAAAGCTATCCCCACCCTCTTTTCAGCTGGCCATCCCGCTACCACAAGCCCAGTGTCCTGGCCTCCAGGGGGAGACAAGTTGGTGGTGAGATTTATGATCTAAATCCCCCTCACCGCACCAATCAGGCCTCGGGCTGCTCCCTTCCTGCTCAGTTCAGCCTCTGCTCTGACTGGCTTCCCTACAGCTTCTTTCACATGCACCAGATCCCTGCCTCTGGCTCTGCCTCTGGGAACTTGACTCGAGAGGGGGTGACCTCTGATTTTGTCCCATATTCTGGGTGGGCATGGAGGCTACCCAGTGGGCCTGGAGGGACCCCTCTCTTCTCTAGGTCCAAGTTTCCTCATCTAGAAATGAAACTTTGAGGCTGGATTTGGGTAAAACAACAAATCAATCAAACACGAAGCCACTTTGCTGACCTCCCGGGCTAGGTATGGTGGAAGGTTCAGATAAACAGGACACACCATCCTTCCCCCAAGCACCTCACAGCTCATTTACTCATTTAACAAACATTTATTGAAGGCCAGCAGGGACCTGGTGACTCAGCATCCTGCCCTCAAGGGTTCACAGGCTGATGGGAGACACTGGGGGGAACTGGCCACCAGATTCGGGGAGAAGGGCAGAGGAGAGCAGCACCTGGGCGGGCGGGCGCATGGGGAGGTGGGGAGGCTGTCCTTGGGGTTTGAGGACAGGTCACAGAGGAGGCAGGAAGGACATCCCAGGGAAGGGGAGGAGCGTGGTAGAGGCCTGAGGCCTGCCACAGCATGACTATGGGCCCGGGAACCACCTGCCTTTGGTATTATTGTGGGTGGGAAGAGAGGGAGCCGGCGAGGTGGAGGGCTGCGGGGCCAGGTTGAGGGCAACGGGGATGGGGTGGGAGGATTTTTAAAGTGAGAGCAATGGCATGGTCAGATTCATGAAGAGATCCATCACTCCATCCTGGAGAGGAGGGCAGGCCTGAGAGGTGGGGGTAAGGCTGGGAGTGGAAGGGGGCAGATTTTGGGGTTGTTTGGAGCTGGGAGTGCTGTGTTGGGATGCAGGTGTGAAGGCTGGGGGGATCAGCAGGAAAGGACAGCTCCCGGCTTGGACAGTGGGGTGGGGGGGTGGCAATGCCCTTCATGAGTGGAGTGGGGACTTTAAGAGGAGGCAGGTTTGGGGGAAGATGACGGGGTCCCTTTGGAGTTGCCGGGGGTGTGAGGTGACTGTGGGTCCCCTAGAGGGCTGTTTAGTGGCAACTGGTGGGACTCAGGGGCAGGTTCAGGCTGAAAGCATGGTCCTGAATCACGGAGGCCTGAGGACTGGGGTGGGGGAGGATGAGGCTGCTCAGGCAGTACATGGGGGTGAGAAGAAGGGAGCTGCCCTAGATCCAAGGATCCGCCTGGGGACACATCTCCTGGACAGCCTGGGAAGTTCCATTCTGCCCTGGTTCCAGGACAGTTCACTCCCACCCTCAGGAACTCCCCTACTAGGGACCCATACTGGGCAGAGCTAGGGAGGTCAGACATGGGAGGCAGAGGCCTCTGAAGTCACATGCTTTGCATTCATCTGAGGGACACTCCCTGGGAAGGAGCTCCTGTGGGCACAGGGTCCCCATGCCTCCCTCTTCTCCTGCCTTGGTCAGCTGGTGGCAGCGTTGTGAGGCCCCTGGTTTAGCCCCTGCCTTTGGGCATTCCCCTCCACATTCTGGTGGCACAATGTGTGTGAGTGGGTGGGGTGGGGAGTGACAGGAGGATCTGAGGTTCTGGGGCTCAGATGACCATTGAGTCGTCTGGGGCCCCTCTCTGAGGTTCATCGGAACTCCCGTACTTCCTTACCCACCACTCTTCACTGGGGCTGTAAGTACTTGGAAAATCATGTTTATTAACAGGTTTGACATAACCTGTTGTCATATACAAAATCCCCACCAGCCATTAGGTCCTCTGAGGCTCGGGACCCGGCACCAAAACCGTACCCCTCCACTGCATCCTGGCTCCTGGGTGAGCTTCTTGAGCCCCCACAGCCACCTACCTGCTCTACAGAAGATGTCACTGCCCTTGTCCATTTTCCTTAGGGGACAGCCAGGGGATCTGGGGATCCTATCTGCTGATCTTGCAGGTTATGGATACCCACCTGCATCTATTGGGGTGAACCCTGCCTTTATTAGGACAGAGTTCCCATCTTGGGGGTGCCCTCCCTGGGAGACCACATACGGTGGGCACGTGTCGGGTAGACGACTTCGGCGACCAGACTTCCGGCGCCGGGGGCCGAGGATCTCCATGCACCTCTTGCTCACCAGGTAGGTGACCTCACTGAGGTTGAGCAGGATGCAGATGGCCGCGGTGGCCACCATGAAGTAGGTGAAGACCTTCTTCTCCGTGGGCCGGGAGATGTAGCAGTCCACGGTGTGGGGGCAGGGATCCACCGAGCAGGCCACCACGCGCGGCATGTCATAATCCTGGTAGAGGCGGTGGAAGATGTACAGGAAGCCCGCGTCCACGGCGGCCTTGAAGATGAGGCTCAGCAGGTAGGTCCACCACAGCCCGCCGCGCTTCTTGCTCAGGTTGCTGTACAGCGGCGCCGCCCCGGGCCCGTGTCTCAGGCGGTGCCTCCGCTCGCGCTCCTCGCGGTAGGCCACGTGCATGACGACGAGCAGCGAGGGACAGGTGACCAGGATGAGCTGCAGGGCCCAGAGGCGCACGTGGGACACGGGGAAGAACTCATCGTAGCAGACGTTGGGGCAGCCGGGCTGCTTGGTGTTGCAGATGAAGTCCTTCTGCTCATCGTCCCACACCTCCTCGGCGGCCACCACGTACACCAGCACGCGGAAGATGAAGACCACCGACAGCCAGATGCGGCCCAGCGCCGTGGAGTACTTGTTCACGCCGCTCAGGAGGCTTTGCAGGAAGGTCCAGTTCATGCTGATGGCTTCCTCGGCACCTCACACAGGGGGGTCTACACCTGGGTGCCACCCACTCAGGCCTTGGGAGCCCGGGAAGACCTGGAAATGGGCACCCTTGAGTACGATGTGGGGGACAATACCGGTTCACAACCGCGGGGTCATGGTGTCCTCACTCACAGGGACTTGGAGGGGGAGGCATGGCCATCACCCCCATGTCACAGGGAGGTGAGTCCAGAGGCACCTGCCTAGGTCCCACAGCTGGAAGTAGCAGAGCTGGTCTTGAACCTTTGTCTTCAGGTTCGGGAATCAGGGATTATTTTATTCTACAAAGTAATAAATACACGTGAGAGTAATCATGCTGCCCCACAGGCTGGCCAGCCTCTCTTACCCCAGGACTGGCGAAGAGAATGAATGACCCCCTCCCCTGAATGACCCCTGGCCAGGCTGGACCAGGCAGGAGGTGTGGGGGTGCATCCTTTAGGGTTGTCAGATGAATCCAGCTTTGACTGAATGCCAACAGGTGCCAGGCCCCACACCGGGCATGTCCGCATCTGCGCCTACGTAGATCCCAGGACAATCTCCATCCTCACTCCTCCTCCCTGGCTCCAGGAAGCTTCCCAGACATCCCCTCCTACACTAAACAGAGCCCTTTGAAATTGTGGTGGCTTGGCATCATCCCTGCCACCTCCCTGCCTTGGCGCCGGAACACTGACGGTCTCGACCACAAGTGGGTTCCTCTGGAATTCCAACTGTTTGAGCTCCAGGGAAGGCCAGGGATGGGCACCGGCTGGACCCTGGCACGGTGTGTAGCCCACCATTGCTTTTCTTTCTCTGAGACTCCCCTTCTCTGACGGCTCGGCGACCTTGGCTGGCTACCTCTCGGGCTCTCCTCGTCCAGGCCCTGTTCTGTGTCTGTCAACCTCCACCGCCTCTTATCTGGAGTCCTCATCCTATTCCATCCCACGGCCTGCCCTCTCCTGTCTCTATCTCAGCCTTGTTAGGCACCAAACCCCTGGGACACCTGCCGAGCACCCTTCCACGGCAGGCCACGTTCACCTGTCTTTCTTGTCAGACCGCATCTCATTCATCTGTCCCCACCATCCAGCTCTGGGTCTGGCCCCGCAAACACGCAATACATGTTGGTTAAACTGCAGAGAAGCCCCACGCGCCTTCCCGATCCCTCTTCATCTCTTCTCCGGTCCTCTGGCCTCCCTTTGGTCTGGCAGGGGATTCCTTCCCCTCCTTGGAGCTCCCCTGGGGTTCTCCAGGGACCCTCACCCCTGTATTCTGGCCCCCAGCCCCAGCTCCCCCGGGGTTTCCTCAGACCTGCTGGCCCCATCTTCCTGGCCCTGTCTCCTACCCTAATAGGTCCTCACCCTTCTTGAGTCCAGTGGCTGCTCTCCTGTCCCTGGCTTGTCCGTAGGCCCGAGGGCCTCCTGGAGGCAGCTTTTGTTCCTCGCTTCTGAGTGGGGTGGGGCTTTCTGAGCCAATGAGCCGGTCGAGAGTGATCCGGGTGGGTGGGTAGGGCAGGTCGGCGGGCGGACTTCCCCGGGCACATATTCAGAGCCAAACACCCGGGCGCTCCTCTCCTGGCCTACGCCCTCTCTCTAACCTCGTGGAGGCATGTGGGTGAGACTGCAGTGAGAGGACAGGACCTGGTTCGATCATGCCCAGGCCCAGGATGGCACCAGTGGCACTGACCCTTCCCCTTCCTTCTGCCTCATTTCCCACACCCTCTTGTCCCCAGGGCCCTCTCCTGCCCTTTATTCTGGAAGCCTGGTTCTGATGTCCTCAGCAGCTGACATCTACAGAAAGGAGCACTTTTGATTCAGCCCAGGACCGCGTCCTACTCTGGTGGGGATTTTTCTGGGGATTAGATCTTGAGCTGCCTTTGGCTTGCACAGGGGGGATGGGAGGGGCTGGCCGTGGTCTTTCTAGATGGGCACCTGCTGCCCTGCTTGAGGCCAGGAATGCAGGTTGGCAGCATGAAATGCCCCAGTTGTCAGGGGCCCAGACACAGCCTCACTCTCCCTTCCCTGTGGACCTGGGCCTCTGTGCTTCTGGGTAAGTGGGTAAGGCCTTCAGGGACGTGGGGTACCCACTGGGGCTGCAGAGGACCCTGGGCCTGCGTCTGGCTGGCACAGTGAAGGTTAATGAGCAGCCAGGGAGGGGCCCCTGTGCCTCATTTCCCACAAGCATTTATCGAGTGCTTCCTAATAGCAATGATTAACATTTATGTGGCCTTTTACAGCCAGCTAACCCCGTCACAGCCATGAACTCATGAGTGCTCACAGAACTCGACAGGCTGGGCATTATTAACCCATTTTGGAGAAGGGTTGAAGCCACCTCCCCAGAGTCCTGTTGGTGCTTGTGCCTGACTACAGGTGTGCGCACCTACAATCCGGGGACTTCCCATTGCAGCATAGCCACCCCCACACTGAGCTCCATGACCTCTGTAGACAACCCTCGGGGGCTGAGGGCCAGCCTTGAGCATGAGCACGTGGCTTGGTCTCCAGCAGAGCCGGAGCACCCCTTCTCTGGAGGAGAGGATGGCTCCTCATCTGACCCAGTCAAGTGCATCCCAGAGATTGAGACAGTGACCTGGTGAGGGTGACAAAGCCCAAATGACCAAGGGTACCTTAAATCAATGAATGCATTGACCTTTATTAAGCCTTGTTGGTGGGTCATGCGCATGGGGTGGGGGTGGCTGGCCCTTCTGATCTCCTTTGACACCCCTCCTCACTATGGTCCTGGGAGGTGGCCCTCAGGATCTTTAGATGTGCCTAAGGCCACCTGCTGGAGCAGTGGCCAGAGTTGGGGGGTAGGGACCAGATCCCAGGCCTTCTGAATCCTCCCTTTGCCCCCATCCATGAGAGATGCTGGAACTTTCCGACCCAGGGCTCCCTGCCAGTCCCGTCCAGCCCGTTCCTTACAGGATGGTTTTCTTTGCGTAGTCTTGGGGGTGGTCTGGCAAGAGAGGGGGGTGAGGGTCTGAGCCCAGATAGATGAGGTCGTCCGAGAGGAGGTCTTTCGAGGTGACACAGTCCGGGTGATGACCCTTGTGTGTGGCCCTTGCTCTGCGCGCTGCCAGGCACTCACGACACCTCTTGTTCACCAGGTAGGCCAGCTCCACGAGATTGAGCAGGATGCAGACGACGGCCGTGGCCACCATGAAGAAAGTGAAGATGTTCTTCTCCGAGGGCTTGGAGATGAAGCAGTCCACTGTGTTGGGACAGGGGGCCGCGTGGCACTTGACCACGGGAGGGAGGGTGTATTTGGGGTAGAAGGAGTGGAACACGTAGAGGAAGGCGGCGTCCACGCCGGCCTTGAACACCAGGCTGCAGACGTAGGTCCACCACAGCCCGCCCCGCTTCTTGCCGGGGTTCAGGTAGAGGCGCCCGCCGCCCTCCCCAGCTGTCTCCCGGTGCTTCTTCTCCCGGGCCTCCCGGTAGGCCACGTGCATGACCACGAGCAGCGAGGGGCAGGTGACCAGGATGAGCTGCAGGGCCCAGAGGCGCACGTGGGACACGGGGAAGAACTGGTCGAAGCAGACGTTGGAGCAACCGGGCTGGCGGGTGTTGCAGTCGAAGTCCTTGTGGTCATCACTCCACACGCGCTCGGCCGTCACCAGGTAGACCAGCAAGCGGAAGATGAAGACCAGGGACAGCCAGATGCGCCCAAAGGCTGTGGAGTACTTGTTGACCCCGCTCAGGATTCCCTCGAAGATCCCCCAGTTCATGGTGGACCCACGTGTCAGACGCCACTGCAGGGAAATGAGAAGAGTCATTTCCCACATTTGCGGCTACTCACTGGGAGGCTGTCAGAGAAACGCGGCATGGACATCACCGTCCTCTACGTGTTCCACTCCTTCTACCCGGGAGAGAGCTGGGGTCTGATATCGTCCCCATTTTACAGATGAGGGAAACTGAGGTGGAGAGGGGTAGAGAAGACTACACCAGTCAGAGCAGAACTGGGACGTGGGCACAGGTGGTTAAGCCAGAACCCAGCTCTACCCATAAGGCAGCCAAGGTGGGTCCAGGGGTCGTTCACTCCTCTCAGGTCGTAAAGAGTGAAGACGTGCGGGGTTGGGACCTGCTGCCCTCTTTCTCTTCCAACCCTGACCCCTCCTCAGGGGCCTCAGCCTGGGTGATCTCTTTCTTTGCTGAGCCCTGAGCCCGGCCCTCTCCCTGCAGAGAGCCCCCTCCAAAGGGAAACCTGTCCCCATCTAGTCCAGCCTTCAGTACATCCAGGCAGTGCCCTCTGCTCAGGTGTGACTCTCGGGAAGCCAGGCAGTGGCAAGCCAGCTGACATGGAGATGCCCTGGGCCTACCAGAGTAGCCTGGCAGTCCAGTGTTCCCCAAACCAGTGTTCTGTGGAACCCTGTCCCACCCGCTGGCAATATTGGCAATACGAGTAGCCAGAGAAGAGGGTTCTGTGTTCACGAAAAGTCGGTGAAATCCAGGGTTCAGCGGCATGAGAGAGGTCCCTTTACTCAACCATGCTAATAAATCCCCTGTGTGATTCTCCAAAAGAGGGACAAAAAATACATAGTATTGTCTCAACTCCTTTGATGGCAGAACCCCGTTCCTTCCCGACACATGTCTGATGGAGGCACGGGAATGCTTTCCCGTTAACCCGGCTGGTGCATTTGGCACGAGGAAACACACAGAGGCAGTTAAGGAAGGGGACTGCTGTGCAGGGCGAGGGGTGCCCTCCTCTCTCAGGAGGCCTCTGCCCGAGACCCAGGCACTGTGGTCTCACCCGCTGCACACCCAGGACCTCAGGGAGCCTGTGGGCTCAGCCTCTTGCACTAAGGGGCGCTGGTCCAGTGGGAGGTCCCGGGCCATCCTGGGCCCTGCATGATTGCTGAGGAGGGAAGCCGAGGGCGGGGTGGGGGTGGGAGTGGGGGTGTGTTATCAGTTTGCTCACTGTAACTAGTAAGCCCTGGAGCGGGGACCTTGAACCCATGCAGCCGGCTCTGGAGCCCACCCTCTGGGAACTCCCTATCTCGGGCTGGGCCTGTCCTTAAGTTGCCGCGAGCTGCCCGCCATGAGCAAGCCCTCCTCCACCTGGTGGAGGCTGGGCAGTCTCTGCTCTGCACCCCGTGTCTCCTCACCACCTACTTCTTGGCCGTGTGGCCCCTGCTCTGAGTCATCTGTGTGTCTGCTCAGTCCTGCCGGAAGTGGGTGGGCCCGGCAGGTTCCCAGGAGCACCCGGCAGGCCCCAGGGGCTCTCTCCCAGTCCAGCCGGCTTGGGGTGGGGTGGGCGGGACGCTGCAGGCCCAGGCAGAGCTGAGCTCCAGGCCCCCTCTCAGCCCCTCTCCCACTCAGCTCCTGGCTCCCACCTAGGCCTGCCTGGGGAGATCAGGAAGAGCCTAGGGAAGAGGGAGGAGCCCTTCATTCCCCCGCGACTAGGACCCGGGTGGCCCATGTGTTCAGCCCACCTCCCCTAATGGCACCAGAGAAGTCTCCCCTGCCAGGTGGGCTGGGGACAGGCACATCTGGACTTAGAAGTCTCTACCTGAGTGGCTGCTCCTCAGGGCTCTCCTGGTAGCTGCTCCTGGCAGCGGGCGGTGGGATTCAGCAAGCAGCCTGACTTCATGTCAGGAGGGTTTCTTGGGAAGCTCATTCCTGGGTCAGAGCTCCAGAGCAGCCTGGGTGTGGCAGACTTGCTGCGGGAGGAGGAGCTGCAGCCGGCACTGCCATTGGATGGGCGTCAGCCTCCCAGACAGCCTCTCATGAGGCTCAGAAAACTTAGGGGTTCACTCCTCTGAGGGTGTTGAACCCAGAATCCTGGCTTCTCAGGGGAGAAACATAGGTCCACTATGACCCTCTGCTCATGGTATCCTGGGGCTTGTATGGGAGCATCTGAAGCCTGTCATACCCTCTCATTCTTCTGAAATGCTTCACTGCTGACTCTTGGGCCTCCTCTGGCTTCTGTGGGCTGCTGTTCAGGTTCTTGTCTCTTTCTGGTTGTTTCTGAGTGGCCTTCCTTCCTCAGGGGCTCAGGGGCTTTGGAAATCCTATGCCTCTGACTCTTGTTTCTGGTCTCTCCCAATTGGCACCCCCCCCCAGGACGCCATTCTCCCCACTTCCTCCTTAACTGGCCAACTCCTGTGAACCTTGGAGGGGTCCAGTCTGGGCCCAATGTCTCCGCAGCTGGAGTTCATGTCTCCTCCTCTGGAGTCCACGCTCCTGTGTCTGGATCTCACACCCAGGTTTTAAATCTCACTCCTGGTTTTTGATCTGGGTGATTTATCTGGTTCCTCCCCTGTACAGACAGACATGCTGCTCCCACGAGGGGTGTCCTGAGAAGACTTTGTGACGTGCAGTGACTGGATGCACAGATGGTGAGGCCTGAGTCCTGGCTCTGCCACTTTCTTGCTGTGGCATCTCAGCCACTTCACCCTAAAAAGGGAAAATATCGCCTGCCTCATAGGGTGGGCGCAGTGATCCACGCAGCCTGGGAGCGGAAGTGCTCAGCAGGGCATCTGACTCAAAGGAAGTCCTTTCCATAACTGCCTCCCAAACTGCCCAGCCTGGCACGTGGCAGGGGGAGGGGTACTCAAAAAATGTTACTTCCTCTTCCTTTTAAAAATGTCTACACCTTTTCTTCTGAGATGTGGGGAAGGCAGAGGAGAAAGGAGGAACAGCTGGATGTGCTCACTAGAGATCATCTCATTTGGACAGATGTTGTCTTTGGGCTTAAAAGGCCAACTCGGAGCCCCGCTGGGGCTGTGGGAGGGGGCAGAGCACCTGGGGAGGCTCCTGGCTTATGCGCAGGCGCAGTCCGTTGGTCTCATTAACATCCAAGACGCCCAGCAGCAATATGTTACACGGGGCTGGAGTGAAGTCCACGGAGTGTCCACAGCAGGCATGGTGAGCCCCGTGCATATGCACTCTCACACACAGGCCACCCTGTGGGCACAGTGGTGCACTCCCAGGGATTGGTTTTGATATACTGCTGTACCCCTGGTGGCAGAGCAGTGCCTGGAGAGTCACATACACCCCCCCCCCCATTCCCAAAAAACTACTGCCACACACAGGAGGAAGGACACATTAACAGATCAGTTACAATATGTGAGAAGAGCTATCAAAGGTACAAAGAACGAGTGCTAGTTTCTGTCAGAGGGACACCCAGAATGGTGACTTTCAGGCTGGGTCTTGAAGGTTGTGTAGGAGTTCACCAAGAGGAGCTCAGGAAGAGGGGCCTTCGAGGCCTGGACAGTGTGTAGAGGGCCTCTGGGAAATGTGAGGGAGGAGGGAGCTGGGGCCACCGTGGAGGAACCACTTGGCAATGTGCCTGGTGGGTCGGCAGGGGCCTCTGGGCTGTGGAGGACCTGGAATGTCATGCCAAGGAATTTGGATTCACGTTGGGTGCAAAGAGAGACATGGGGAGTTCCAAGCCAAGAAGCGACGTGGACACATTGGTAACATGGGTTTTCATCAGTCAAGGCAGTCACCGTGAGTACCAAGTTAGCACACAGTGACCACAGCTCCCGGGGGAAGTACAAGGTTAAGTTCCTGTAAACCTGTTTACAAGGTATCCAGCTGATCAATACGTAGCCTTGTCTTCCGTGTTTCTGTTTAAAGACATCCTACTTAATAGAGATCGGTGATTCATTAACATTAACTGAGGCCAGCACCACAGTAGCTCAGGCCTGGATGGAGCTCATCCACCCCACGGGTTTCCTCCCCGAGGGGCATCCAGCCTCCCTGGGCTTGGGAACACCCACAGTGCTTCGGCTCTGTGCTTGGGGCCATTTGAAGCAATAAAATCACCAACCAAAAGCACAAAAATGAGAAAAATGTGGTACTAAACGGACCTCCGGCAAGATACGCATTTACAGAACAAGAGCAGAGAGAGCAGAGAGAAGGCAATTGGGTGACCTCAGCTGGGGACAGTCCATCGCATGGGGGCAGGGGAGGTGCTCAAATTCCTCACCTCTTCTCCTGCGGTGCATGGCCACAAAAGTGCCTCGGGTATCAATTTTGGGGTCACCAACAAACTTGAGTGGGCAAATTCACAGTATGGAAACCTGCGAATGTCACTATGGAAGCCACGGTCTGCCCTTGCTGCAGTGATTTAAGGCAGAGGTGAGAGGAGGGCTAGATTTGGAAAATAGCTGGTAAGTACAACTGGCAGGCTTGGGCCTGGTGTTGGTGACTGGGCAGGTGGTGGGTCCACTGGCTGGAAGCAGGACTGCGGGAGGAGAGGCGGCTGTGGGCAGGAGAGGCGGAGATCGGCCACAGAAGCTGGTGGAGTTGGTAAGCTCTGGTGCAGTGGGAGCCGCACTGACCACCCACGGCCAGCAGGAGGCAGCACCTTGGGGCTGGAGGAGACACAGGACTGGAAGGGTGGGGCCCCAGCAGAGCTCTGGGGAGCATTGCCCTGTGAGGAAGCTGCAGAGAAAGAGAAGGAATGATCAGAGATGGAGGATCTGCTCTGGGGAGGGGAGCAGATCACGGAAGGGAATGCAGGCCGCAGAGAAACCACTTTCACCAGAGCTGTGTCAGCAGATGGGCGGGGACCAGGGCCGGGCAGAGAAAGTGCTGGTGCATTAAGATGAGACCCACCTACTCCCCCAGGCTCTGCTCTAAAAAGTGACCCTGGCTTCCCCACCCCCAGGGTCAGCCTCAGGCGGGGGCAGGGCAAGGGCACCCTGGTGGTCCTCCCTGTTCCTCCCTTGTGGGTGGGGATTGGTCTGCCCCATCCTCAGGAGCTCCCTGTGAATGCACC